AGGCAATGTGTGTGTGTGTGTGTGTGTGTGTGTGTGTGTGTGTGTGTGTGTGTGTGAGAGAGAGAGAGAGAGAGAGAGAGAGAGAGAGAGAGAGAGAAAGAAACTCAGTCATTACCCTCAAATGAAGTACAACAAATGTTCATAGCATAATTAGCAGAAAAGTCCTTGTATTTTAGTAAAGATTACTCAGAAATAAGAAATATAGAAGGCTCTTTGAGAACCATCTAGGTCTGATCATGTCTGAAGTTTATAACTTAGACCCTTTTCCTAGATTCCAAAAACTTGAAGATGTGGAAATCGTTCAGCCCCATCTTTGGGCTCTGATTTCCTCTCTCCCAGTGAGTATAGTCGCACTGCTAAGAAAAGGCTGGCGATTTTGCTAAGCCTTGCCTATATACAGCCCAGCTGTAAAATTTCACTGCTAGTGGGGAAGAGCAGAACGGGAACAGAGCAAGCATCAGTTGTTAGCATAGACTCAGACTAAACCAAGCTGCACTGTGGGCCAAGGCACACTGTGCCCTCCTGTGTGTTGGCACTGTGAGTGTGGCCATGAAAGAATGCCTTGGTAACCATTCATAGGCATCAGTCATAGCAGCTCTGTGTCTGACGTCATAAGACTTCACTCACCAGCCTCCAGAGACAGCCCGGGCCAGACCTCCAGGCTGCCCACTCTTCCCAATAAACACGCATATGAAAAAGATATGAATTGGAACAAGCCGAGAAGCCATGGCCACAACGCCTGGATTCTGCAATGACCTCTGAGATTTTCCTTAAACAAGGACTTTAATACCTTGCCTTTGAGTCAGAAGAAATGTAAGACTGTGGATCTGCAATTTACAGGCAGTTCTCCAGAGCGGTTTTATGATAAGAATAGTGTTGCCCAGGAAGCAAGTTAGACCAAAGTATTAACTCTGAGGTTATGGGCCTCTGAGTGTGCATGGAATTTATGTGGGGAAGCAGGCATCTAGTTTTTCACTTAACATCTAGCTGAGGCCTCTGTGTCTAATGAGACTTGTTCTTCTTGGCTAGAACTGAACATACCTAACTGGACTCCTGAGTCTACTGATTTCTTCCATGTGGGTGTAAAGCACCCCAATCTAATTTAGTTAGTCACATGGCTTTTGTTCCTTACATCAGGTAGGTTTGATAATTCAGCTCCCAGGGGACTGGTCCCACCATATGGACAGGCCCTTCTGAATAAATCATGTGTGCTTATTCACAAATTCTGTATACCTCAAAGCTCACCTGGTCTGTATTGTGGCTCTTAAAGGGAACTTTTGGCTTCCTATTCACTAAACCCGTTTGGTTATCTTATCATTTGGGGTTTCTCTTTTTCTTGCGTGCTTTGATTTTATTTCCCAAGAGTCTCTGCTGTCGTTGTGAAATGCTCTCAGCCTACTGTGAATCTTACTCATATGTCTTTAATTTTTTTTTACTTGAATGCAGACAACTGCTAGATTTGCATTTAGGACACACACACACCCAAAATTAACCTTGCATCTTAAATTAATGACCAACTGGAGTCCGTTACTGCTTCCCAGTTGTTTTCTATTTGAGCTTTGTGTTTGACAATGAGGAATGGTGTCCTTAGACACCAATAGCTTCCATTCCACACCATAGCTAAATTCTTTGCCTCCATGCAGCACAGTCTAGCTTCCTTTATTCCGTAGACCTTTCCATCACTCCCCACTGGCTTCAGTATGTTCAGGATTTATGCATTTTGAGCTTTTTTTTTTTTTTTTGTCTTTCTGTTGGTTGTCTTTCTGGTTTTGTTTTTTTTTGTTGTTGTTGTTGTTGTTGTTGTTTTTTGATTTGCTCTTCTTTTAGCTTGATCTTGACCTTGTGATTTTTATCTCATCACTGCTTTAACTACTATTTAAAAACTATAATCCCTGTGAAAGGACACTGAAATATATTTCTAGATCTTCTTTCTATAATTCCAACCCCCAAGTGTGTAACCTCTAGGCCACTGTTTCTCAACATTCTCAATGCTTCCTTTAATATAGTTCTTCATCTGGTGGTGACCCCCCCAAACATAATATTATTTTTGTTGCTATTTCATAAGTGTTGTTTTGCTACTGTTTTGAGTCATAATGTAAATATCTGTCATGTGACCCCTGTGAAAGGGTCATTCGACCCTCCCCTAAAAGATTGCGACCCACAGATTGAGAACCACTGCTCTAAGCTGTTATCTTCACATTGGTTTTCTTCTAGTATTTCTAATTATACTTTTGAAGAAAAACATCCCTGATTCTCTATCTTTGAAGGATGGAGTGGCCTGTTTTTGTGTGTACTCATAGTGCATGTTCACCCATGGATGTGCAGGCAATGGAGCAGGAGAAATTTGAAAACCTGGAGTTGGTGGTTGGAGAAATGGCTGAGTGGTTAGAGCAAGTACCGCTCTCACAGAGGACCTGAGTTCAGTTCTACCATCTCAGGTAGAGGACAACCAGTTATAACTCCAGCTTCAGGGAATCAGACCCCCCTCTTCTGGCCTCCTCAGGTACTGCACCCTTGTGCACAAACCCACACAGAGACATACACACCTACACATAATTTAAAAAATAAAAACATTTTTAATTGAGGTATTAACCTTTCTGGCACCTGCCCTTCAAAATATCTAGCCATTCACCAGCCCTTCTCCATGTCACTCACGAAGTCTCTCACAGATAACCCTTTGGCGCCTGTACTAATATTCCTGTAAGTGCTAAGTCATGAGCT